CTAAAATATTCACTTCAAATAAGTATTTTAGGTTGCTTGTTTTTAACAAGTGCTTTTCTTTCCTTTTTCCCTAAGAAATTTACCACATCCTTACTAAATGTCTGCTATGTGCAGACGTTGTTTTAGGAGCTGGGGATATGAAAATAAAAATGACATGTAGTCCTTGTCCTTAAGGAGTTTCTACCAGGTGAGATGTACATCTATAAATATAGTAGAAAAAAGGATATGATAGAGACAAAGGAGAGATGTTGCCTAAGTGTTCCAGGAATAGTTGAGGCAGGTGGGAATAATTTCAGCTGGGGCATTCAGGGAAGATTCTCTGAGCTGAGGTTTCAAGGTGCATAAGGATTGTAAAAGGTGGGGAAGAGGGAGTGCATCTCAGGGATTAAGAACAGCTTGTGTAAATCCCTAAAATATAAATTGGAGAACAAAGGGGAGATCCAGGTTCATTGTTGTAGGAATATCTGAGGGAGAGAACACTTTCAGCTTTGAGGATCAGGGGAAACTACAGTGAAAAAGGCCATCTGTGCAAAGACTTGATGGAAAGTAAGGCTTCTAGGGGCAGCCAGGTGGTTCAGTGGGTAGAGCACCAGCTCTGGCGTCATGAGGACCTGAGTTCAAATCCAGCCTCAGACTCTTAATAGCTGTGTGAGCCCTAGGCAAGTCATTTGAGCCTGATTGCCTCCCCGCCAAAAAAAAGGAAAGAAAATAAGGCTTCTGAAAGGCAGAGAGCAGAATAGAGTACTTTGTATTCATGGTTGATGTTTGTTTTGTATGCATAGAGAGGGGAGTGGGTGGGGACAAGGAGGAGAGTAAATAGTCCACTTTAGAGAACTTGAAAGGAAATAATGTGGCATAAGACTGGCAAAGTAGACCAGACATAAATGTTAGGTAAGTTTGGCAAGCCTTAAATGCCAAGTTTAAATAAAGGTTTTGTATTTTATCCTAGAAGCAATATGGAACGTTTCTGAGCAGGAGAGCAAGACAGACCTGTGCTTTAGGAAAAGATTATTTCAGCAGTTGTGTGAAGGTATTTTGGAGAAAGGGAGAGAGAGTGAGGGCTAGGAGACCAGTCAGGAAGGTGTTAAAAGCAGTCTAGGCATGAGGTGGTAGGTTACTGCCTGTATAAGAGTGGATGGAAGAGGGGGCTGTGAAAGCAGAATGGATGTGACTTGGCAACCAGTGAGGAGAACAGATGAGGGAGAGGAGAGGCAAGGATGACTGAAGAGTTTTAAACCTGGGTGCCTGTGGCAGGAGTGGAACTCTGAACAGATTGGGGACGTTGGAAAGAGACGATGAGTTTAAGGGGAAAGATGATTATTTCCATTTTAAACATTTTGATTTTGAGGTTCAGGTGATGAGAGGAGGTGAAGAGAACAAACATTGAGCGCCAGTTAGTTTGGGGGACTAGTGTTTGGGTGAGAGAGTAGGGACTGCCTATATAAATCTGGAAATTTTAATACTGATAGTAATGATAATACCTGACATATGTTTCATTATGATTGCAAAGTACTTTATATATTATCTCATTTGATCCTTTAAAGGAGTAGGTAGGGATGATGATACCCCTTAGAACTTATTTAATAAGTTTTAGAGACAGAGTTTGAACTCACGTTTTTATTAGTATTAGTTGTGCTTTCTATTAAACTACCCTTGGCCTTTCTCTGTAGAGGTGATAATTGAACCCATAGAATGGGGGAGAGAAAAGAGAAGATGATCTATGCTGAAACCTTCTTTGAGGGGAACCACAGAGGGTAGGAGATGAATTATGAGTCAGCAGAGGTTACTAAAAAAGGAGTTGTCACTGAAGCTAAGGTATCCATAGGGGAAGAGGTTATCAGCAATGCTGAAATCTACAGATCAAGGAGGATGAGGACTGAGAAAGGCTCATTGAGGGGCTGTTAGGTGGTGCAGTGGATAGAGCACCAGAGTCAGGAAGATCAAATCTGACTTCAGACACTTGACACTTACTAGCTGTGTGATCCTGGACAAGTCACTTAACTCTATGGCCTAGCCCTTCCCCCCCCCCCAAAAAAAAGAAAGAAAGAAAAGGTCAATGGATATAGCAATTAAGAGATAAACTGACAACCTTTGAGAGAAGTTTTAATAGTGTAGTGTGATATTTGGGGGTGGGAGGGTGGGAAGGAGAAGCTTGATTGCAAGGGGTTGAACAATGAATAGATAGTGTATGAAAGTATAGGCAACAAGTGTAGGCTGTTCTTTGTAAGAGTTTAGCATTGAAACAGGTGAAATGGAGAACAATAGGTTGAAGAAATGCCAGGGTCAAGTGAGGGTTTTTTTTTTTTTCTTTTGGTCACAAAATTTTATTTTATTTTCATAACCATATTCTTTCCCTCCCATTCCCACCCCACATTGAGAAAGCAAGAAAAACAAAACTCCTGTTACAAATAAGTGAAGTCCAGATAAACAAATTCCCACATTGATTTCTCTTTCTCTCTCTCTTTAGTCTAAAGAACTCATAACATGACTCAAATTTTCCCAGTAAAGTAAGAAGTGAGATGAATAAAAAAAAATTAATCACTTACTAGTGCAAAGCACTGTGCTAATCACTGGGAGTACAAGTAGAAAGACAAGGAGCTCAACATTCTAATGAGAGAGGGAGTGGGCACGGGACATATGGGAGGTTTTCAGGTGCAAATCCAATGGAAGCTTGGTGGTCCTTCAGTTTCAACACCAAGGTAATATATCATCTCTACGGTCATTGATAAGAATCTGGACAGGGTCATGCAAATAAGTGGGATGAAGTTCAAATAGTAAAGGATTATAGCAGTGGGAACCAATGAGGATGCTGTGTTGTCTGACCCAGTGTGTTGCTGTTTATGGAAGAAGCTAAGAGGGGAAGAGAAAGAACCCCAGCTTTGGTTGAAGATGGCCAAGGATAAGCTTTAATTATCTTTAAAAGAAGGTCAGGTTTCTCTTAAGTTTCACATATTAGAACTGTTGTAAAAAGATGAAGGAAGAGTTTAACAGTATAGAGCTAGGGTACCAGATATCAGAGGAAGATAAGTTATCAGACGTTTGTATCATTTTAAAGTTTAACAAAGGTTAGAGATGAAATGGATAAGAACAACGATGTGGAAGAAAGTAGTAGAGAGATTTTCACTTCAGAAAGTGACTTTTGATCACAATGGGAAGCAAGCAACAAGAATTTGTGCACTCTGGCATGGAGAAAAGTACCAAATATTGAGAAGCACAGACCAAATAGCCACCCCCTCCATTCTAATTAGAATATTAGTGTGAAAGTGCCTCTGCCTGTGATGTCCTTTTTACAATTGATGCATTTGTCTTGCTAGATCTTAATGTCCCCGCAACTTACCACCTAATATCCTTTCTCCCTTTCTCAGTCAAGCTCTTAAAAAAAATCTTTCTATACTTAATGCTTCCATTTCCACTTTTTTTAAACACTTTGCAATTTGGCTTCAATTTGCTTTCTCCAATTATTTACTTAGACCTTCCTTTATTTCTGTAAAGATTTTCTTGTAGTTGTATACAAGTGTGGTACAGTGTAGATAAAGAGCCTTAAAGCCAGGATACCTGAGTTTAACAACCTAGCCTGGACACTGGCAGTGTGACCCTGGGCAAGTCATTTAACCACCCTTCGTCCTAGGCAGCTCTCTGAAAACTAAAAGTTGAAAAGGGAGTTTCTCACCCATTCCCTATACCCCTTACCCCCTAGAAAATCATGTCTAGCCCTTATCCCTAACATGTAAGTATCTTATCACATAGGTCCTGTGTATGTCTTGGTAGTTTAATTCCCAAATATTTTATCCTTTTTATAGTTACTTTAAATGGAATTTAGCTTTCTTCCTTTTTTTGTTAATAATATACACATAAAATGCTGCTAAATTTTGTTGATTTAGTTTGTGTTCTGCTGTTTTGCTGAAGCTATTAATCATCTTGATTAGTTTCCTTCATTGATTTTCTTATTTTTTATGCAAACATTATATTACATGCATTATATCATATGGAGATAATTTTGGTCTTTCTTGCCCCTGTTTATTTCATTTTTTCCCCTATGTAGTCTTACTTTAGCTATCATTTCTATTGCTATTTCAAATAATTGCAAAAAAGTAAATGTGCTACCAAAATGAGCACCCATGATGTTTTCCAGTTGGAACCCATTTAATGAATTGCAGCAGGAGATTGGAAAGGCTAATTCTAATTGCAGGAAGATACCTTTGGTAATTTCCTCTGTATACATGACATCTCATGTTTAGTATTCTTTGTATGTTTCTGAAACCACAATTGGAATGACTTAGGGAAAAAAGCATTAAGAAGAAATAGATCTCACTAAACCCTATCCATCAAAATTCTAAATATAAGCCTATAATCCTCTGTAGGATGCATATAATAGCTGCCTATCTATTGAAATGTATAAAATTGACATCTGATATAATTTTCAAAATGCGTACACAATTTGCTGTCGTGGTGCTTTGTAATATTATGTCATATATACATTGTTACAGGTTTTAGAATTTGTATGCAGTGAGAATGACTACATCATTTTGGAGAAAATAGCTTCATGCCAGGAATTAATGGAGCAATAGAACGTTGCTGTTATGCCTTGTGTATATTTTAACCTGTTTGAGAGGAAATTGAGTAGGAAAAAAATTGGATCAATAACAAGCACTTATAGCAAATGAAACTAAAATTTATTATTTAGTCTCCTAATGGAAATGGTTGACATACATTGATTACTCCCTTCAAAATAAAAATTAAAAAACCTGTAAATTACACTGTTAATGTACCCTTGTAGTCAGTGAATTAAATTAATATGGTTAAATATTAACTTGAATCATCAGATTTTATCACTCATTATGCGAAAACCCAGAAATATAATCAAAGTAATAGTTGTAAGAGTAAATAAAAATGTGTAGCTTAGTGCTGATGCTTTGGTCTATCGTTTAGTGATATGTCCTTGATTCTGTAACAACTTTAGTAAGTTGTGTTGCCTAAATGAGATTTTTTCTTCCTTTTAGCTTTTGGTTCGTGCAGGTGCTAAACTGGATATTCAGGATAAAGATGGGGATACTCCATTGCATGAAGCTCTGAGACATCATACTTTATCACAACTCCGCCAGCTCCAAGATATGCAGGATGTAGGGAAAGTAGATACAGCCTGGGAACCATCCAAAAACACAGTAAGTAATTTCTCATATATAATTTGTATGAAGTTTTGAAGGTACATTTGTTACTAAATTATTTCAGTAACAATTCTTCAAAAATACTAATACTGTTCTACCCTTTGTCAACTGGCTTTGTAAAAGAAAGTACATAAAGTTTTAGTAATTATAGGGCTAATTCGTGAGCATGAAGTCTCTGATTTTATTCTTATATTCAGATTATTTTAGAAAAGTTTGTTACAAGTCACAGCTAGTCTCTGAAATACTAATATTAAAATAATCAATTAGCAAAGTAGATTTTGCCTGGATTAATATTGTTTCTCTTTTGATGGTTATTATGTTTAGATTGTTGGCAGCCTCATCCTGGAAAGAGTATTGACTCTAAAGTCAGAGGACTTGAGTTCAGAGCTTGATATGGTATTACATTACACAAAGTGATTTTGGACAAGCCACTTAATTTCCCTGAGTCTCAGTTTTCTCATCTGTAAAATGAGGGAGTTGGACAGTTGGACAATATGGCCTCTGGGATCCCTTCCAGCTCTAATGTGTATTATGATTTTGTTGAACCTTCAAAACATTTCCTTTTGAATTCCCAGAGCTAATTCATTGTTGTTTTTAAGGCACCCTTGAAACTATTAAGGTTTTGTTGTGGTTATATCTTGAGGGGGATGATGATCACTTAAAATTTCTTTTGCATTGTATAGATGGGAAAATTTTGATTTGCAGCTTTTGTTGTGACATTACATCTTAAAGTTTCTGTTGCCTAAAGCATTTGCTCACTAAGAGTTTGCCAATTTGTTACTGCTTATTTCAGGGCTATTTTATCTGCTTCTGTTGTTTGCTAGCAGTCTACAAGTGTGCTTTGTACATTTAAAGCTACGATTCATCCTAAGCAATTCTGTTTTTCTGCTTCTGTGCACACTTTCAACATATCAGGACAGTGTGATATTAGGTTGAAAGATCCTGTAGACCATATTATGTAAGAATTGGCTGAAGAAACTGAGGGGTGTTTAGCCTTAAAAGTAGAAGACTTGCAGGGTCAGAGTGGTATGTGATTCCAATTGGTAATGTATCAGAAAGCTTGCTGGATTAGAGTCAGATGGTCTGAGTTCTAATCCTGTCTTTGTCCCTTATAATCTTGTGATCTCAGGCAAATCACATTACTTCTCTGATCTCTGTTTCCTCATCCATAAGATGAGGGGGTTGATTCCCTCCCAGTTCTAAATCTGATAGAGTGATTATATAATCCTCTTTAATATTATGGATCTGTTACATGAAAGAAGAATTAGACTTATTCTTTCTGACCTCCAAAATGAAAATCAGAAGCAATTCGTAGAGATGTTAAAAGGCATACATGGCTTAATTGAAGAAAAAAAGTTGTGATATTTAGAGCTAGCCAAAAGTAGAATGGACTATCTTGGGAGAGTATGGGTTCCCTTTTCTCAGAGGTATTTCAGAAAAGGCTGGAAGACAATGTGTGGGGCATTTATAGGAGAGATTGTTGTTCAGGCATGGATTGGATGCCTTGGAGGTCCTTTCCAACTCAAGAGTCAATACTTTTTATGTCTTGATAAACATTTCAGTTTATCATATCACTGGTCATCATGAGTTGCTGTTTAACATTCATTTGTTTTCATAATCAGTGCTAAAATCGTAGCCTCTGTGTGAGATGGAAGAAACCCGTTGTCTCACAGTTTGTTAGAGCCTAACTTCTGGCCATATGTACATGTTATCTAAAGAGTGGCTTAGCTGAGTTTCCCAGTTGGCTACAGAGGACTTTGTACGAAGTTACATAGGAGTTGTACTCTGTACCAACAATTAGCCTGAAGAATAAAAGAGAAAACTTGATGAATATTTTGAAGGCCTGACAGAACCGTAGATTTAGATGGTACTCCTAGCAATTAAATCATGGGTCTTTGAAGTACTAATGAAGTATTCATAGGAAAATTGATGAAATTGTTTAAGAAACAAAAAGGGTATGAGATATCAGTGATTTTTAGAGTCTCTCTGCATATATCACTTGAAAGATCTTGCATTTGCTTTAGAATTTGATATCATGTTAGCAGCAAACTGCCAGTCTCCCAAACTCCACAACTTTTTTGGTTCTGCTTTTGTTCTTTCAATTGTTGAGAATTCATAGTTTAAGTGTTGTTATAGTTAAAGAGTTGATTATGAGGTTATAGTTCTCATGCAGTCAAAAGAGAACTACTTGGATATTTAGCAAAAGTAATTCCAATAAAAAGTAAAACTTTAATTCCTGTTGACGTATACATTGAATCTGTTTCGTATGTCAGTGCAGGTCTTCAGGAGCTCTTGATATATGCTCCATAGTACCAAGGCAGTGTTAACCTTTGGCTTTACATATTACAAAATTCCAGTGATATCACTTAATGGATGAAATGAGAGCCAGAGTTTTCTGCTAGAAATTGGGGCTAGGAGACAGATAAATGGTTCCTGCAACTTGTCTACAGCCCTAATTTTAGCATTTGCTAATTCTGCTCTGCAGTTCTTTTTAGATTGGATTGCTTGAGTTATTCTGTGTCTAGATTTACCTGTCTCTTCCACCACTCAGTTTTTAAAGCTCTGATCTCGTTTCTGTCTCATATTTGCATGGAATTTCATTAACGATAAGTACTACTTTATCATGTAAGAAAAATGCACACTAGGTAACTTTTCTTTTAGATTTCTTATTTTGCTTTCTTTTCTGAGCAATGTAAGGAAGTCTTAGGGTTTGGGTTTTGTTTTGTTTTTTTTTTAAAACATTAGTGGTTTAATATAAGCCCTTTATCCTTTGAAAGTTTGCAATTGGTCCATATTTTTATCCAAACAGGATGCAAAATCTTTCTATTATGTCTTCTGGAAGATTTCATTTTATAACTTAATGAAATGAAATGAGAATAGCTAGCTTTTTGAGAATGTTATTTTATTTTGTATCAGCATAAAATTTAAAAGGAATAGTGATCTTTTTTCCCTTAAGCAGTGGAATTTTCATCTTTCCACGGTAGTTAAATGAAAATGATGATTGAAAACATCGATTTTAAGGAAATAGATGTATGTACTTCGTTCTTGCCAGGAAGTATGTCAAGTTTTTCAGTAACTGTTGGCAAACTCTTTTAGTAACTGCCTTTTTCCCCTTGAGCATGGAATGAAAGAAATTTATTTAAAATGGAATGAAAGAAATTTATTTAAAATAGTTGGAAGGAGGGGGCAGCTTGGTGGTACAGTGTATAAAGCACCGGCCCTGAAGTCAGGAGGACCTGAGTTCAAATCTGGCCTCAGAACAAACACTTAACACATACTAGCCGTGTGACCCTGGGCAAGTCACTTAACCCCAATTGCCTAAAAAAAAAAAAAATAGTTGGAAGGAAATAATTCAGATGTCAAACCTACCTATCATTATTGCAGTACTAGATCATTTTTGTCAAAGATGTTAACTGAAAGAATACTGTTATATTTTGAAATTTTAAAATTTTTCATTTAAAAGCTAGATTCTAATGTGTACAACACAAAAACTTAAATATATGAAAGGTTCAACATTTGCTAGCCTTATTTCTTATTGTTTCTGACAAAAACCAGATTAATTACTTTGCTCTCTATTTCCCTAACCCCCCTGCATTCAACTTGTTTCCACCTCTGTTCATTTGAACCTTATTATTTCCCCATAACTCATCTTCTTCGGGAAACATTTGCTTGATTACATTCTTGTCCCATGTCGTCTCAGAGCTTTTATGTTTTGTTTATAATATTTTAATTTGCCCTCAACAGGTAGATCACATAGTTCTTGTAAACAAAGCTCATCAAGCCTTTAATAAATACTAACCAATTGATGGTAAATGCATAATATTTTGACAATTTTAATTTTTTCACCTTTAATACAAATTGTACAGGGAATATAGGTAGCTGTAAAGCATGTTTTCTCCTTGACTAATAGAAATAATTTTAACTATGAAGGAATTAAACATGTAGGATGAGGAAGCATTTACAACTACTTTAAATTTGCCATCTTTTATGTTAATATGTGAAACTATATTCTCTCAGGGATGACCACTATTCTTATTTTCTTTCAGTTAATAATGGGACTTGGTACACAAGGGGCAGAGAAGAAGAGTGCAGCATCTATTGCCTGCTTCTTAGCAGCTAATGGAGCTGATCTTAGCATTCGAAATAAAAAGGGTCAGTCTCCACTTGATCTGTGTCCTGATCCTAGCCTCTGCAAAGCACTGGCCAAGTGTCACAAAGAAAAAGTCAGGTATGATTAAGTTTTGATCCATTGAATATGATGTATTTTATGAGAATGCGGTTTCTAGACTATAAACACCTTATTTTGCTGCTAAGTTTTAAAGTCATTGGGGCTTCTTGCAAGAGAAATAAGAGACAGAACAAATGCTATTAAATATTTGCTAAAAGTCTCATATTAAACAACCTTGTTTACTGAAATCTTTAAAATTAATTCATCTAGGAGAAATTTTAGCAGCCTACTAATTTATTTCTGCACTATCTTAGGCATAAAGACTAGTTATATGTGTGTAATGCCTTTAAGTGTTGATATTAATGTCAGCATGTGCACATCAGTAGGAATTATCTTTGTCACTGAACAGAACCCAAACTTACACATATTATGGAACTTCAATCTTTCACTTACCATTTGGATGCTAATAAATTGATATCTCCTGCCTTCACTTTATCACCAATTTATAAGTCATGAGACTCCCTTCCCTCACTAGTTAAGCATGTTCAGGTATTGCCCATTCCTAAGAAACATTTGCCAAACTCACCTGTTCCTTGACCACTACCCCATTTTGATTTTGTTTTTAAAATTTTAGTTCCCATTCAAGTTACCATAGCTCTCAATAACTACTTTTGTTCTCATAACTTTATTTCAGTACCCAGTGTCAGCAATCTGGTCAGTCCTTGTTCACTGTGGATCTTTGTACATGAGCTATTAGTTTTATGGTTTATATCTTTTTTGAAAGTCAAATTTTAGATCTCGCTTTGATTTAAGTCATATAATGCATGTTGATACTTCCTCAAATACCCTAACCTCCCAGTACTTCAGCTTATTCTTTTCATACGACCTATTCTTCTGCCCTGCCTCAGCCACACACAAAGATGGTAATGTCCTTGATCTTTCTATCACTCACAAATGCCTCACTTCCATGTTCATGAATTCTGGAATCCCCTTATCTGATCATAGTCTGTTGACATTACACCTCTCCTGCTGTCTCTACCAAACCCTTCTCTTTACCTACATCATGACCTCCAATCCCTTGGCTCCTTAGTTTTTTTCCAAGGTGTCATCCCCAAGGTAGCTGCACTCTCTTCCTTTCCCCATCTTGACTTCTTGGTGAACCAGTTCAACTCTATACTGTCTTCTTCTCTTGAGCGTGTTGCCAACTGTATCACTGATTGTGCCCCACCAACATTTAGCCTGGCATCTTTCCCATCATCTACTTTCTTCATTCCTGTACATGTGTAGCTGAACAGAAGTAGAAAAAATCATGCAATCATCCTAACTGCTTCTACTCAGATTTATTTTATATAACCTAACCTGGGTCTTACTGCTGCTAGGCAATTCTCTTATACTTCTGTAACTCACTCTCTCATTCACCACAATGATTCTTGTAAACCTTTTCATTCCTCCTCAAACTTTCCATGGCTGCCTCTTCCCCCAAAAACTTAGCTGAGAACTTTGCCTCATATTTTCCTGAAAAAAAAAATTGGGCCATTTGCTTCTTTTTCTCATATCACCCATATGCCTTGTACCACTATCTCCTCTAGCCCTGTCTTACATGAAGAGGTGGTCCTAAAGCACAAGGGGATCCCATTTTATCTCATCTCCTCTAGCAGATTGCTCTCTCTCTCTCTCTCATTCCCGCTATCCACTTATCTTTAGTCTCTTCCTGACTACTGGCTGCTTTCCTACTGCCTACAATTTTCCCTCATTCTAGAATATTTTCTTCATCCATCCATCCATCCCCACTAACTATTGTCTCATTTCTCTCCTGTCTGCTGTGGCAAAACTTGTTGAGAAGGCTCTCTTTCATTGATGCCTCCATTTTCTCTCCTCTTACTTTCTTCTTTTTTTTAAATTTTTATTCATTTTGAACTTAAACACAAAAAGAAAAAAAAACATTTACATGTACACAACACAATGTAACCATGAATTTCTATTTTGGACTGTGTACTTAAAAAAAAACAAAACCCTATGTAGTAAATACTGCACATTGTTTTCAAAGCTACCCTGTTTTTCTGGGCTTCCTTCTAAGTTTTCTTTTGTTCTCTGCTGTGCACTTTGTTTTTCCTCCTTCCCTCCTGCCCTGCCCTAGAAAAGGCTACAATTAAACAGAAATATACATATATATGTAAAACCATACTATACATACTTCTATTTATCATTTCTTTCTTTGGAGGTGGATAGCATCTTACTTCATTGTTGTAGGAACTATGCCTTTGTATTTGGTTTGAGTATTATAATACTCAAGATGAATTAGTCATTCACAGTTGTTCTTAGGACAATATTTCTGTTACTTCATATAGCATTCTCTTGGTGCTGCTTATTTCACATTTTATTATTTCATGCGAATCTTTACATGTTTTTCTAAAATCAACCAGCTCATCATTTTTTATATCACAGTAGTATTTCGTCACAGTCATATAATACCACTTGTTTAGCCATTCCCCAATTGAAGGGCATCTCTCATTTTGGCCAATCCAATTAAGGTGTAAGATGATGTCTTAAATGTTTTTATTTGCATTTCTCTCATCAATAATGATTTAAGTCATTTTTATATGACTATATGTGGTTTTGATTTCTTCATCAAAAACTGCCTGTTCATATCCTCTGGTCATTTATCAGTTGGGAAATAACTTGTATTCTTATAAGTTTGACAAACTTCTTTATATTGAGAAATGATACCTTTAATCTGAGAGACTATGAAATTTTTTCCCCAGCTTTCTGCTTTCCTTCTGATCTTGGCTACATTGGTTTTATTTGTACAAAAACTTTAATGTAATCAAAATTATTATCCATTTTATACTTCATAGTGTTCTCTGTCTCTTGTTTATTCATAAATTGTTCTCCTATCCATAAGTCTAATAGGTAAATGTTCTTCTAATTTTCTTGTGATATCTCCCTTTATATCTAGGTCATGTGTCCATTTTGACCTTGGCTTGGTAAATGGTTTAAGATATGGCTGTATGCCCAATTTCTGCCAGACTACTTTCCAGCTTTCCCAGCAATTTTTACTCAATAATGAATTCTTATCCCAAAAACTTAAATCTTTACATTTGTCAAACACATGGTTACTGTAATCATTTGTTGCTGTGTATTATATGTCTATCTACCTTTCTATTTCTTAGCTAGTACTGGATAGTTTTGGTAATTACTGCCATATAACATAGCTTTAAGATCTGGTACTGCTAAATCTCCCCTTTATATTTTTTTTATTAGTTCTCTTGTTATTCTTGACATTTTGTTATTATTCTAAGTAAAACAAATTCTTGGTAATTTAATTGGGATGGCATTGAGTAAATAGATTAATTTTAAATTGTCATTTTTATTATATTGGCTTTGCCTACCCATGAACAATTAGTATTTCTCCAGTTATATAAATTTGACTTCATTTGTATAAAAAAGCATTTTATAATTATGTTCATGTAGTTCCTGGGTTTGTTTTGGGAGGTATACTCACAGGTATTTTATACTGTCTGCAGTTATTTTAAAGGGTCTAAAATAATATTTGTGACACATAGTGTAGTTTCTCTATATCTTTTAATTAAATCTATTTTAGCTTTAACTTTGTCTAAGATTGTGATTACTACCCCTGCTTCCACCCCCCGCCCCCAATAGTTCCTCATGCCTAGAATATTTTCTCTCTTCAGCTCTACCTCCTGGCTTCCCTGGATTCCTTCCAAGTCTCAGTTAAAATTCTGTATTCTATAGGAAACCTTTCCCCAAGCCTCTCCACACCCTATTCAAATATCCCTTAATTCTCATACCTTTGCTTATTATTTCCTTCTTATCCTATATATAGCTTATTTGTACGTAGTTGTCTACATGTTGTCTTCCATATTAGATTGTGAACTACTTGAGGACAGGGACTGTCTTTTGCCTTTCTTTATATCTCCTGTGCTTAGCACAGTACATAGCACATAGTAGGTGCTTAATAAATTGACTCACTGACTAAATTATTGTAATTTAAATTCTTCTGATGTGATATACCATGGAATGTTGGTGTACATTTTTCCATTACACTTAGGGATATACTAATTTAAATTCTTCTGATATTATAGTATTTTAGGTAATTATTGGTATTGAAAAGATGGGCTTTTGCAGTGATTCAGGTTTTGAGATCTTTGAAAGTAATGCACACTTCCAGAATTGAATCCATCACTATTTCCTCCTGTTTAATTCCAGCTTATTTTTCACCCATAGTACTTTTCTAAGATACCCATATCAATCAGCTAATGTAGTGGGCCACTTCGTTGCCCATATGTTTTCTTTTTGAGGGTGCCAACATTACCACTAGCTCCTCTGTTCTCCTCAATAAAGAAAAATACAATCCTGTGCAAATAAACATAGTGAAGTAAAACAAACATACACATTTGTCATGTGTAGAAATTTATTTCCTGCTGCTCCTTGACTGTATTACCCATGTTATCAGGAGGAGGTGGATACCGTATGCCATCATCAGTCCTCTGGAGTCAGTAGATGTTCATTGCATTTTTCACAGTTTTTAAGTCTTTCAAAGTTCCTTTTCTTTGCAGTGTTACTATATGAATTGTGTATTTCTGAATGGCAGGATTTTACTTGCCTTATATCTGTAATCCCCCACTGTGTCCTAAAGTTCTACAGTATTCATCATTTAATAAATGTTATTGGCTAGCTTCATTCTATATAAAGAAATATGGGAGTTAGATTTTTAGGTATCTGTGCTCCCTCTGCTGGCTCTATAAAAGATAAAATATTAATGAAGATAGTTTTTAAAAATAAATAAGTTTTACTGACACCTTTGGTTTTTAACATCATTGCTATTTTGTGCTATGAGTCTTCCCTTGTCCTTTGCAAATTAGTGACCCTGTCTGATTCCACATGCAATAAACTGCTCTTATAGACTCTGCCTCTCTGCTGAGAAAATGGAGGATATATTTTATCATTTATTCTATTGGATAATTACAATTTAATACTCAAAAGTTTGGCTTCGCCTTTAAGAAATCTTTTCATTTATGTTGTAGTTGTGTTTAGTGAACAACACTTTTTGACGATATTGATCTCTTTGACTGGTAATAATGACTACTTAACTCTTAAATTATTTAAGCAGTCCTTTTCAGCATGACGTAAGTTTTATTTTTAAGAATTTTTCTACTTTGTAGCTTCAATTTTAAGAAAATTATTCCATAGTAAAAAAAATGGAGAAAATATAATATATGAAGACTCTAAATAGTAAATATTTCTTTTTCTCCCTTACATAACTAAAGTTATATACCATTCCTGGGTGGTTCTTACTATTTTATTTTAATACTTAGAGATACAGTGGTTGACATTTTTTCAGAAGCTGTTCAAAGAATAATTATCTATGATTATGAACTAAGCCTGATTGAGTATATTTTATCTTATTAGTGGTCAGGTGGGTTCACGGAGTCCTTCTATGATCAGTAACGATTCAGAAACTTTGGAGGAGTGTATGGTATGTTCAGATATGAAGAGAGATACTCTTTTTGGCCCATGTGGACATATTGCTACATGTTCTTTGTGTTCTCCACGTGTCAAGAAATGCCTCATCTGTAAAGAACAAGTTCAGTCTAGAACAAAGGTAACTTTCATGTATTATCCTTTGTTTCTTTTATCCTTTTTTCACTCTTTAAGGCAATTTTAATGATAAATGATATTGTCTGTTGCCACTGTGTCTGTCAAATAACTCCTCAGTGGAACAGAGCTCAAGAGTGGGAATGGAGTAGGAATATCTATTGCGTTCCTGTTCTGTGTTTATACATGTATAGGGGTTTGTGTATCTTATATATTTGACCAAGAGAAAAAAGTTAGTATTTCTGAAAAAGAGCATGGTTCTACTTTAGATATAGCTCTTTGAGTAGTCATATTTTTGTTTTATATAATTTTTATAATTTAAAGGTCAAGGTAACAAACATTTGTTAAGCAGCTACTATGTGCCAGGCATTGTGTTAAGTGCTGGGCATACATAAAAAGGTAAAAAGATGGTCCTTGTTCTTAAGGAGCTGACAATCTAATGGGTGAGACACTAGTATTAAGGAGTATCTATTTTGTTTAAAGGATGGGATTCTAGGGAGGACTTGTAGGAAGCCAGGAGATGGAGATGAAGAAGAAGAGAATCCAGGCATAGGGGAGGGCCAGTGAAAATATTTTGATTTGAGACATAGAGTTTCTTCTCTGAGGAATAGCAAAGGAAGCCAGTACCATTTAGTTTAAGATATCCAATAGGCAGTTGGAGATGTGAATTTGGAGGTTAGGAAAGTGGTTAGGACTGGATATGTAGATTTAAAAATCATTTGCATAGAGATGCTACTCTTGGATCAGTGCTATGTGGAGGGACTTGCATAGCTCCATGAAACTATGAGCTATGCCATACAGGGTTACCCAAGATGAACAGGTCATAGTGGAGAGTTCTGACAAAAGGTGATCCATTGGAGAAGGCAATGGCAAGCTCCTCCAGTATCTTTGCCAAGAAAACCCTGTGGAAAGTATTAAAATGAAAAACGAGATGACATTGGAAGATGAACCCCTCGGGTTGAAAGGTGGCCAGTACGCTGCTGGGGAGGAGTACAGGACAACTGCAGGTAGCTCTAGTACTAATGAAGCAACAGGGCCAAAACTGAAAGGAAGCTCATCTGTGGATGCATCTGGTGACAAAAGGAAAGTCTGATGCTGTAAAGATCAGTATTGTGTAGAAACCTGGAATGTAAGATCTGGGAACCAAGGTAAGCTGGATATGGTCAAGCAGGAGATGGAAATATTAAACATTGACATCTTGGGTCAATGGACTGGAATGGGTGAATTTAATTCAGTGATCATTACATATACTACTATGGGCAAGAATCCCTTAGAAAAAATGGAGTAACCCACATAGTCAATGAAAGGGTGAGAAAAGTAGTACCGAGGGTATAATCTCAAAAATGACAGAATGATATCTGTTCCAATTGAAGGCAGACCATTCAACATCATAGTAATACAAGTCTGTGCTCCAACTAGTGATGGCGAAGAAGCTAAAGTTGATCAGTTCTATGAAGACCTACAACATCATCTAGAAGAACACCCAAAAAAGATGTCACATTCATCATAGGGGATTGGCATGCTGAAGTAGGAAATAAAAAGATAATTGGAGGAATTCAAAATCTTGTGGAAGTGAATGTTGAAAACTAAAAATAAATAAATTAATGGACCAAAAAAAAGATAACTGGAATAACAGGTAAGTTTGGCCTTGGATTATAAAATACAAATGATACCACTCTGATTGCAGAAAGTGAAAAAGAATTAAGAAGCCTCTTCATGAAGATGAAAGAAGAAGAGAGTGTAAAAATTGGCTTGGAGTTTAAAAAAACTAAGAATTTGACAACTGGTCCCATCACTTCCTGGCAAATGGGGTGGGGGGGTGGGGGGGGAGGCATGGAAGCAGTGTCAGATTTTATATTCTTGGACTGTCTGCACTATGAAATTAAAAGATGCTTGCTCCTTGAAAGGAATGTTGTGGCAAATCTGGACAGTATACTAAAAAGGAGAGATATCACCTTGCCAACAAAGGTACATATAGTCAAAGCCATGATTTTTCCAATAGCCACGTATGACTGTGAGAGCCTCAGAATCGGCACTTTTGAATTGTGGTGCTGAAGAAGACTTTTGAGATTCCCTTGGACAGCAAGGAGATCAAGTAGGTCAATACTTAAAGAAATTAATTCAGGCCATTCACTAGAAGGTCAAATACTTAAGCTTAAGTACTTCAGCCACATAATGAGAAGACGGGACTTATTGGAAGAGACCCTGATGTTGGGAAGTATTGAAGACTAAAGGAGAAGTGGACGGCAGAGGATGAGATGGGTAGTTTGTGTCATGAAAACAATAAACATTGACTTGGACAGGCTTTGAGAAATAGTGGAGGTCAGAAGGACCTGGAATGCTATAGTCTATGGGGTCACAAAGAGTTGACTACGACTGAACAACAAACGACAGGCACAGAGATTATGATTGAATTCCCTGGGAGCTGGTAAGATCACCAAGAGAAATAGTATAGAGGTAGAAGAGCCAGGAAGAGCCTTGGAGGACACCCATGGTTATGACCTGAATGAAGATCCAACAAATGAACCTGAGAAGGAGTTGTCAGACAGGTAGGAGGAGAACCAGGAGAGTATCACAAAAACCTAGAGAGAAGAGAATATCAAGGACAAAAGGGAGAAAGTATTGCCAAGAAAATCTAGACAGAGTATCAAGGAGAAGAAGATGATTAACAATGTCAGAGGCTGAGCAGAGGTCAAAAAGGATGAGGATTGAGGAAAGGCAATATTAGATTTGGCGATCAAGAGCATTGGTAACTTTGGATTGAGCAGTTTCAGTTGATTGATGAAGTTAGAAACCAGATATGAGTTAAAAAAGAGTATGAGAAGAAAGGAAGTGGAGGCATCAATGGAAGACAGCCTTCTTGTTTTTAGCCACAGAAGTCAGAAGAGATAAAAAGCTAGTGGGGATGGCCAGGTCAAATGAAGGCTTTTTGAAGATGGAGGAGACATGGGTGTGTTTGTAGGCAGTACAGAAGCAACCAGTTATCAGGGAGAGATTAAAGAGAAGTGAAAGTAGGGTTGCCGAAGAGAGGGATATACTGGAGAAGAAAGGATGGAATGGTAACTTTTGTGCATGTAGAGGGGTTTGTCTTGATAAGGTGAAGGGCTACCTCATCAGGTGAGACAGGTGTGAAGTGAGAGATAATGGCAGAAAGCATCTCAGTGATGTGAGATGAGGAGAAGAAAAGAGGGAGTTCTTAATGAATGACTTTAATTTTTTTCAGTAAATTATGAGGCAGGGTTCTCAGATGACTTGGGAGGGGTCAGGGACACAGGCAAGAAGTTTTCTTACCACAACCCATATTGTTGTCCACATTTTATGTGTGAGTGTACTGATGCTCAGAGTTTGTGGCTTACTCAAGGTCATTCGTGTGGTGAATCTGGAAGTTGGATCCAGGCCTTCTGACTGATTCATATTTGTTTTTCTGAAAAGAGAAACTCGCAGTAACCTGTTTGTGAGTGATGGCTTTTTGGTGTTTGTTTCTTTATTCTACATCCACAACTCTCTCAATCTAACCTGTTTTGTCTACTCACACAGCCACCACCCTAGAACACCTCTCTCTAGATTATTACAGTACCCCCTCTAGTTGGTCTCCCTTCAGTCTTTCTCCTATCCAGTCCATCCTGTACATAACTACCAAATGTATATTCCCAAATAAAGCACAAATGTGACTCATCATTCCTCTTCCTCTGCTTAACAAGCTTCTGTGGCTCCCTACAGCCTTGTATACAGAATTGGATTTTTTTTTTGAGAACCTAGAAAACAGAGAGGAATTCCTCTCACCCCTTTGCCTTTTCTTGTAAGAGGGAAACCTGTATATAACTCAAACATAGTTATTTGGCTATTGCAGATTTAAAAAAAAAAAGCAAAGGCTTTTTGAAGATGGAGGAGACATGGATGTGGTGGCCTGTGTCCCTGCCCCCTCCCAAGTCATCTGAGAACCTTGCCTCATAATTTACTGAAAAAAATTAAAGTCATTCATTAAGAACTCCCTCTTTTCTTCTCCTCATCTCACATCACTGAGATGCCTTCTGCCATTATCTCTCACTTCACACCTGTCTCACCTGATGAGGTGGCTCTTCACCTTATCAAGGCAAACCCCTCTACGTGCTCAAAAGTTACCATTTCATCCTTTCTTCTCTAGTATATTCCTCCCTTTAGCAACCCTACTTTCACTTCTCTTCAGTCTCTCCCTGACAACTGGTTGCTTGTGTACTGCCTACAAACACATCCATGTCTCCTCCATCTTCAAAAAGCCTTTGCTTTTTTTTAAAAATCTGCAATAGCCAAATAACTATGTTTGAGTTGTAGACAGGTTTCCCTCTTACAAGAAAAGGCAAAGGGGTGAGAGGAATTCCTCTCTGTTTTCTAGGTTCTCAAAAAAAATTCAATTCTGTGTACAAGGCTGTAGGGAGCCACAGAAGCTTGTTAAGCAGAGGAAGAGGAATGATGAGTCACATTTGTGCTTTATTTAGGAATATACATTTGGTAGTTATATACAGGATGGACTGGATAGGGGAAAGACTGGAGGGAGACCAACTAGAGGGGGTATTGTAATAATCTAGGGAGAGGTGTTCTAGGGTGGTGGCTGTGTGAGTAGACAAAACAGGTTAGATTGAGAGAGTTGTAGAGTAGAATAAAAAAACAAACACCAAAAAAAAAAACTTAACTGATTTGGTATGTGAGAGAGAATGAAGAATGGGGGTGACTTTGAGGGTCACTAGAAGTATAATGGTACCCTCAATCAAATAGAGAAATTAGGAGAAAGTGTTTGGATTTAGGGTAAAAGAGAAGATGTGATATGTTTGAGATGTCTATAGAATATCCACTTGGTGTTATGGGATTGATGCTCAGAAGAGATATATAGATTTGAGGGTTATTTGTATAGGATAATAGTTGAACCCATGGTAACTGATAAATTCACCTAAAGAGAGCGCAGAAAGAAGAAAGCCTAGGATAGAGTCCTGGAGCTCACCCACATATAGGAAGCAGAACATGGATGATGATCCTGCAAAGGACACTTTGGGAGAAGAGAGACTGTCTGGGAGATGATGGCCACTAAGTTTCAGAGTAGTCAATAATAATAATAATAATAAAGATGATAATTTATTCCCATTTATAGTGTTTGAATTTTTGGACAGCACTTCACTTACATTTCTCTCTCATTTGATCTTCTCATCAATCCTGGGAAATGGGTAGCATTTTATAGCTGAGGAAACTGAGATGTAATTGACTTGCCTAGGGTCATACAACTAGAAAGTATCTGAGGCTGGATTTGAACTTAGCTCTTTCTGACTCCAATTGCAAGTGTTTAGCCAGTACACTTCGCGGGGATTCCCCGTGTAAGCTGAATCAAGAAAAAGGAACCAAGTAAAATGCTGGCCCAGACAATCTGGGATTGAACTCATCTGTTAGGATAGGAAAAGTGCTCTGTAAACTTATCTGTTTCTGTCCCTTTATGTATTTTATTTTTCCTTAACTTCCTTGAAAAATTACTTTAGAAAAATATCCAGTCTTTTTTGAGAGAAATATAGTGAAAGCAGCAATGCGGGGGGCGGGGGGGAGGGCGCGGCGTGGGGGGAGAGGGGGAAGAGGAGTGGGAAATGTGAGTATGGAATTCGGAGTGCTGATATCAGCAATAGATGGTGGGTCTGAGGCATAGAGAAGTGATGTCACACCCCATTTTGGACTCTGATAGCTTCTTCATTTGTGGATTTTGAAATCCCAGTCCTACCTGGAATTTTTACATTTAGGAGAAATAAATTTGAGTAGAAATAAATGTTAGATCCTAGATTTGCATATGGTTTAGGTTAAGTGGAATGTGAGCCCCTGGAGAGCAGAGATTCTCACATATGTCTATCCCCAACATCCAGCACAAGTCTAGCACATAGAAGGTGCTGAGTGCATGCTTATTGCTTGACTGATTATTGACTGGATATCTGTGCTAATGCCATGGCCTCCTCCTGCAGATTGAAGAATGTGTGGTGTGCTCTGACAAGAAAGCTGCTGTTCTTTTTCAGCCCTGTGGCCACATGTGTGCTTGTGAGAGTAAGTATGCCTAGGCAATACTCAACCTCCATTATAGCGTTTTGTAAGAATAGAATAAGAGGAAGTCTAGCTCCGTTTTTTGTGCCCAGATGTTACCTCACTAAAAACCCTAATCTGTTGATATTTGGAGGGTACTTCACTGCTTAACATTTGCTTCCCTATTTAGTATGTCAGTTTTTCCTGTGTTCTTATGTTAGCTGATTCCTACATCCTCCACAGAGCTCTAAATAGAAGTTATTGTCTTGCCCTTGCACAGTATCAGCTGTAGATATCTATATAGTCTACAGGATGTCCCAAAAGTCTTAGTGCAGCTAAATAGCTTAAAACTGCACTAAGACTCATGGGACATCCTGAATAAATGATCCTTTATCACTCAGCAAAGTTTAGTTCTGAAAAAATATATGCAAACAAAATTCATTTAAAGGGCACTTTATTTCTATTATTTACAGTTAGTCTTTGTTTTCTACACCAAAATGATTTCTTCATGTACTTTCCTCACCCTTTGCCCTTGCCTCAAATCTCCCTTGTAACAAAGAAAAGCAGGGAAGCATAATTAATTGATGTAATAATTGTATCTCTAACATTTGGAATATGTTGTCATCTGACCTCAGATTCAGGATTGGTCATCATATTTATTATGAGTTTAGTTGTTTTTGATGGCATTTTTATTTATATAGTATTATATTTGTGTGTAGTGGTTTGTTTTTGTTTTTTTAGAAAATTTAGATGTATGTATCCATATTTGTATACACATACAGAAATACGTATAAGCTTTTTAATAAGGTAATAACAATTATCCTGTTTCTGTTTTTCTTTTTTTAATTTTTGCCTTCTGTTATTATTTATGTAAACAGTGTGCATATTGTTTTGGTTTTGTTTTCTTTTATAAAGTCCTCCTCTTTTTTTTATGTTATTTTCATTTGTTATTTCTTATACTATAATCTGCAACTTGGAATCACAATTAACCATTCCACAAACATTGGACATATAGATGGTTCTCAGTTTTTTGCTATTATAAATTATGTTGATATGAATATTTTTGTTAAAAAAAAACCAAAACAAAACCCTTTTCTCCCCTGTGTTTTATTCTGTGTGGATCATATCCCTAGGATATGGCCCTAATAGTAGGATCACTGGGTTACAGGTTATTCCTAGTTTTGTAACACTTGCTAATTAAGTAAATTTTTTAAAAAAGGTTAAATCAATTAACAGCCTCACCAGCAATGTATGTGTGCCAGTTAAAGAATTTGAACAATTTTGGAGGTGGTTTTTAATAATTTTTTTGAGAACTGCCCCTTTATACTTTGAACCACTTAAAAGTGCACTTTAAGTTTTTTTTTTTTTACCAAATTAACATATCTACTTGTAATGTACACCAACCTTTATGTTTCTGCTTTTGAGCCTTTACCAGCTATTACACCTCTTTACTACTTTCCATTACTCTTTGTGCCAAGTGATGTCACAATAAAATTAGTTTCTTTGGAGATACAGGCAAAAATTAGATCATGTTAGCTATATGTATTTTTTTTTCACTCCCCCTAATCTTTGTATTTCCTCCCTTTTTACGTCCAGTTTTTGTCCAGCATACCATGTTCTTCTCTCTACTTTTTTGTTCTTTTCATTCAGGGTTTTTCAAAGGTTTTAAAAACCATTCTCCTCACTTGAATAGCTTCAGGGTAAAAGTACAGTAAGTTATGCTCCTAAAATAATTTAGTAAGCAGCACTTAATAAGCTATCTAAATAAGATAGTAATTAAAGTAGTAAAGTGACCTGATCTTGGCCTGTCATTATGAAATATATTTGTTAATAAAGACAAACCTGGAGTTGAGCTTTCTAACTCTGCTGACATGCCTTGACTGTTGGCCTCCTATTTTGCAGGACTAGTCTGAGAATTCAGAATTGTAACTAGTCTCTGCTGTCAAAACCACAAATAGGAAGGGAAATGATCTTTGTCAAGTAACATCCAGTTAAGGTTTCATAAGCTAAAATGACATCCTGAATTAGATTTAGAGGGTAGGGAGCTCATTTTTGTGAAGAGTTAAACTTTTGGAAGGGCTTTCTTAAAGAAAAGCCCAGCTTGAAGTTACCAAAATAAGGTTTATTTTGGGAATGTCTTATATAGCATGAAAATTGACAACCTTTTAAACTTGAAAAATATTTTCCCTAAAACCATACAATTCCAAGCTAGAGTTCTTTACACATTCAACTCCTGTGTAGCATGTTCTACGTGGACAGATGATTTACCTACTCTTTCCCATTTTCATTGAGTTACGCTTTATTTTGGGAGTACACCTTTGTTGTACCTCTAGTCAGAATCCTTTAGAATCAGGGAATGTCAAATTAGAGTTTATCCTATTTATCCCCAAAATCATTCAGTGTCTTTTCCTTTCAAAATACTGATGTGTGATAGGAAGCTTCTAAACAGACTCTTCTGCAGGCAAAGGAATGAATTAGAAGGCCATGGAATGATCCACATAGAGTAAAATGTTAGCCCTGAGCCTGTTTCCTCAGTTTGTAAACTGAAACGGGTTGGATAAGACTATAATTATGATCCCTTTTGGCTCTAAATTCTGTGATACTGTACCTTTTCTCCAGTGCTGCCATTTCAGCAGCTTTTACTGTTTCTTTTTTTAATATATATGTTTTGTAGGGGGCAGCTAGGTGGACACTTACTAGCTGTGTGACCCTGGGCAAGTCACTTAACCCCAATTGCCTTAAAAAAAAGATATATGTTTTCCATCAATATTTGAATACTGGAAAAGATACTCTTTCACTTCACCTGTAATTTTAGATCTTTGTAACCATGAATTAAATAGAATTATAAATAATATGTAAAGCTTCTTATTTAACTGTACTTGTAGTACCTACCTATGATGTTTTTTGGGGAAGAAAAAAAGAGTATTATTCAGTCTTAGTTTACAAGCCATGAGTTACCTAATATTTGAGTAGTGGAAAAAAGGCATTATAGAGTCTGAATGGGCAAAAAATCTCAGTGGTCATGTAGTTCATCTCCTTTTCAGATTGTGAAGCTCATCTATAATATTCCTAACAAGTGATCATGTAGCTTTTGCTTTCAATGGTTGGAAACCCACCATTCCCCTGTGCTCCTCAGCCCCACACCAGGGGCAGCCCATTCCATTTTTGAACTGCTCTAGTTGTTAAGAATGTTTATTACTATGGTACTTTCATGCTACTCTTTGCATAGAAATTATTTTTCAGTACAGTGGCTATTTTTATTTTTACTCTATTGACTCATTTTGATAGAAACAGCAGGAAGAGAATGGTTCAACATAATGCAGAAATTTTGGAGTACAGTATTTTGCCTCAGAAAAGAGTTTTAGAGAAAACTGCAGTGGGCTTACAAGCAACCAGTCACCAGTCCAAGACAGTGCAGTGTATTGGTAAGAGGTGGGCAGTACCAGGATCATTCTGGTATTAATTTGTGTTTTGAAAGAAAAGTCTCCCTTTTTCTTTCCTTTTTACATTAAACTCCTGAAATGGACATCATGTTATTTATTTGTAGAAAAAAAATTGTTTACCAAAATATTAGGGAGTGTAGTTAATCCTTAAATTATGGACCACTGATTCTGGTGTCCTAAAAATATAGGAAAGGTTTGATTTTTGTTCTAAGGTTTATAACATGTTTAGTGTTACCTTCCTGGTAGGCATATCAGGATAGTTTAGTGGGGCTTCCCTTAAAAGTTATTTAGATTAGATAGAAGAAGAGTCAACTGCAGAGGAAAGGGTAATATGTGTCCCTTGTCTAAATAATGTATCTACCTTTGTTTTTCCAGACTGTGCTAACCTGATGAAGAAATGTGTGCAATGTCGGGCAGTAGTTGAACGGAGAGTACCTTTCATTATGTGTTGTGGTGGCAAAGGCTCAGAAGATGCCACTGATGATATTGGTAAGTTTATTTTCTTAAAATTTTTTTCTTACAGTTGGACCCATTTCAATTAATTCAATTCAATAAGCATTTATTAAGCTCCTGCTTTTAGGAATAAAAGACAAAAATGAAAGTTTTTGTCTTCAAGGAGGTTACGCTCTATTTTCTTTTTTGTCTCCTAATTCTTAATAATAAACTATTTTCTTACACATAAAAAGATTAATATGTTTGTTGGTCTATTGTTATAAATTAGTAGTCAGGAAAAAAAGTTATTTTAAAGCCATTTGTATGGTGATTACAAACCTGAAAACATTCAAAAGACTTTCCTCCAAAATGAAGAAAAAAAAAGGGATAATTTTAAAAGATTATAGTTATATCTTTGTTTCAATAAATTAGAAATGTGGGTCAGAAAATTATACAATTTGACATAATTGGATACACGTACAACTTCTTCCCAAAACACACCTCTTGTATAAAAAGGGAATTACGTGTTTTGTTTTGTATCTGGGACTCCACTATAAACTGGTAGCATACAGTTATTTCTTATGATGTGGTAGAAGGGAGCATTAATACAGATAATACTGGACATTGAATTATGGATATTTATTCAGGACTTTTCATGTCAAATACAACTGTAAATGTGTCTTCAAGTAGAGGGAGAGAATATGGCAGAATAGGGCTAGTAATGAGATCAGACACCATTCTTTTTTCTCTTTTATATGAGACTATTTGATACTTTGTAGCACTTTCATTTTTTTCATCTTACACTATTATTAACAAGAGTTAAGATTCCTATAAAAACGATCTCCTCAGCTGAACAAAAACCTTTTGTAAGGTTTTTAAGGAAACTAGGAAAATGTCCATTCCCTTTGAACCAAGGACATTACTGGGTTTGTACTTCCAGGAAGCCGTCAATAAGAAAGTCCCCATATACACCACAATATTTACAGCAACTTTTTTATGATAGCTGAGAATTGGAAACAAAGTGGATGCCCATCAGTTAGGGAATGGCTAACAAAATTATGGTATATGAATGTAATGGAGTATCACTGTGCTGTAAGAAATTACTGTGATGAGTATAGAGAAGCATGGAAAGATCTATATGAATTGATATAGAATGAAGTAAGCAGAGCCAAGAAAGCAATATACACAGTTACTACAACAATGTAAATGGAAAGAACAATGACATACCAAGAGTAAATATAACAAAATTGTAAAGATTAAGCATGCCTAGATTGAAGAAATATGAGAGGACATCCCCAATCTACTCCTTCATGGTGGTTGGATCCACAGGTGTTACATATTGCACATGTCTTTGAACTTTTTCAATGGATTGGTTAGTTGTACTGGGTTTTTTTTCCCTCTCTGAAAAATAGGATTTGTTATGTGGGATGGTTCTCTGGTAGAGGGAGGGGAAAGGAACACTTGGAATAACTATTATGATGTAAAAAACAGAAAATATCAATAAAAACTTATCTTTTTTTTTTTTTTAAAGGAAACTGACCTTTGGGGTAAAATTGTCTTCCATTGCCTCTCAATCCATTCCCAAAGTCTTCAGACCCATAGCTTTTACTAGTTACTCTTAGGCTAGTACAGTATAGAGAAAGCAAGCATAATAGAGATATTTATGAATCTGAGAAGGGGAAACAAGGAAAGTGCTGACTCCAATTTAAAAACTTTGTTGAGGCTTACTTCAGTCAGGCACTACAAATGAAGCAATCTGCTTTTTATGTTACTGTGCCAAATATACCCATTGTTTAAAAGAGTCTTGTTTTAAAAACCAGCCTAATAGGGGGCAGCTAGATGGTGTAGTGGATAGAGCACCGGCCCTGGAGTCAGGAGGACCTGAGTTCAAATCCGGCCTCAAACACATAACACTCAATAGTTGTGTGACTCTGGGCAAGTCACTTAACCCCAATTGCCCTCACCAGGAAAAAAAAAAAAAACAGCCTAATAATAGAGGCCATTTCATGAAGAATTCATGTAAAGTACTACATCCAGTTATGGTGAGGGGATTTAAAAATACTCTATCTATATTGCAGCAAGTGGAAACATTCCAGTTTTACAGAAGGACAAAGACAACACCAATGTCAATGCTGATGTACAGAAGTTACAGCAACAGTTACAAGATATCAAAGAGCAGGTAAAAATATCTTTATGTTAAAACACTGATTTTTATGAATGGCTTTTAGGAGAAGAGGGCATCTATTTGCTTCCTGAAATCAAAGCTCTATTTCATACTTCACATTTGTCCTCTAATCTAAATCTGGTTGATCAGAATTATTTCGTTGGATAAAAACTTGAAATATCAATGTTATCTTACTGCTAGAACCATTTCTTTTCTATCTGTACATATAAAACAGTCCCATAATAAATGGTGATGTAGAGCAGTGCTTATTTTCATATGCCAGATAAGAGTTATGTATTAATTATATACAATCAATTGATTAAAATTCCTGAACTGAAGGAGTTAAAAATAATATAATTAGATCCATTTTCTTGATGTAATTGTGGCCTTGTAAGTTCTTGATTTTGATAGGATACTAAATTCATTCTAAAACAAATTTAAGATTGGTGCTGAATTTTCAGAATCTTTTTCTTTCATGTAAGAAATGCACATGCACAGAGCAGAGAAGCTAATTTTTGAAGAAAATAGTAGTTTTTTCATGAAAGTTATTTTGTATCATTTTGTTTTGAAGTTCCTTTTATTGAGAGATATAAAAACATTTAAAATAGTTCCAAAACTTTTTAAAATAGATTGGTAATGTAGTGGATTTGTAAATTTTTAATTGTAACCAGGGGAAACCTTTATTAAAAGCTCTCCCCTGACACTTAATAGCTATGTTTCCATGGTCTAGTCACAGACATGATTTTGTATGAAACAGATCTGGGAATTTTAGTGTTCTTGTAATCTCAGCATAAGTCAGTAGTCTTGATATCAAAACCCAAAAAAGCTGATGAAATTGTGGACTGCCTTATGAGAAGCACATCTTCCAGTAATAAGCGAGTACAATAGTCTTGTTGTAGGGTACTATGCTCAGTTCTGTGTACCATATTTAATGAAAGATGATGAAAAGCTAGAGAATGACCAGAAAAGAGCAACAAGATGGCAGAAAAAAAAAAAAGGCCTCAGATTTATAGCATATGAAATTTGGTTGAAGGAACCAGAGAGGCAGCCTGGTATAGTACAGTACTGTATTTGGAGTTTGGTCTCCCTATTTTGTATTTAGAGTTAGGAAGACCTGAGTTCAAATCTCATCTCACTATGTGACATTGGGCAAGTCATTTAATTTTAGTACTTCAATTTCCTCATCTGTAAAGTAAGAATATTGGATTTGATAACATCTGATGTCTTCCATGCCTAAATTCATGTTCCTGCGATCCATTCCAACTCTAAACTGTGATCCTATGAAGTAGGAATGTTTATCTTGAGAAATGAAAGGTGTTAGAGGACATGATAAACTGAAAGTGTGTCAGTCTTTGCCCCCAGATGGTAGATTTGTGCACATTGAGCAAATTTAGGCAATATATAAGGCAAAACTTACTGATGATTAAAGCTATCCAAGAATGGAATGGACTTACTTGGGGGTGTTGTAGGTTTTTCCTTATTGGAAGTCTTCAGACAAAGGTTGTGAAATCTTTTCCAGATACAGGTTGTAGTATATGGCCATTCAAGTTCCTTCCAACTTTGAAATTTCAGGATTCTGTGAATAGGCATGAGAAGAGATGGAAGTATAGCATGTTGTGATCAGAATTCTGGGTCATAGAGGTTGTACAAGCACTTACACCTCCATATAAATGCTTGCTCTTGATGGTAAAATCAGGGGCAAAAAATCTGTGTGTAGTTTGAATGAAGGAGTAGATCATGAGAGTTGAAGAGATTGAGAAACTGTAAGGCCAGAATATTTGAGGGAATTCTGTGTGTGTGTGTGTGTGTGTGTGTCTGTGTGTGTGTTTTGAAGTTTCCAAATTTTGAAGTTGGGTTTAAGGAGGAAAAGATTATGAGCCAGGTTCTGAGTTCCTTGAAAAAGGGAGGAGAAATAATCTGATGCCTGGTAGGTGACTGTACTTAATGATTTAAATAGGGTGAATGATTTAAATAGGGTGACTGTACTTAATGATTTAAATAGGGTCAAAGTAGAAGAGGTTGCTGGGTGATGGTAGCGTCTAGAGGGTCTAGTAGTGGTAGTGAAGACAAAGGCATCTTCCACCTCCTGACCTATTACACTGGGAGAGGTTTGCCAGCCTTCTGAGGTTAAGTTTTCATGAGTCTCAAAACACGGAAGGAAAAAGGCAAGGAAGAGATATAAAGGGAAGTTTGTTGATAGAATTGGGGGTCCAGAGGACATAACAATTGCTGATATTTATATAACTTTAATTAATACTAATTTATCTCATTTGATTCTCATAATAACCCTGGATATGAGGGGCATGAGATAGTGATGAATCCAGAATGACTACTAGTTTGGGAGGTTGAAGGACTGGAAGGATAGTGTTGTCCTCTACAATAATAAGGAAGGTGGGATGTAGGGAGGGTTTAAGGGAAAAGATAAGTTCAGTTTTGGACATACTTAGTTTAAGACATTGCCTGATCATCCACTTTGAGATGTCTGAAAGGCAGTTGGAGATATGAGATTAAAAGTCAGCAGAGATATTGGTGCAGGACCTGTAAATTTGAGAATCATTATCATAGAGATGGTAATTACATCCATGGAAGCTGATGTACTTCACCAAGAAGAGGGCTGGGACAGAACCCTTAGGGACACCTCCAGCAAAGAATACTGAGAAGGAGTGGTTAGATAGATAGGAGAACCAGGAGAGAGGAGTTGCTTGAAAACTTAAAAAGATGAGTATCTAGGAGGAGAATATGATCAACAGTTTTGGAGGTGGCAGAAAGTTCAGAGAGAATGAGGATTGAGTAAAGGCTGTTGAATTTGGCAACGAAGAGATCATTGGTAACTTTAGAGAGAGCCATTTTGGCTCAGTGATAAGGTCAGAAGCAAGAATAGAGAAAGTGGAGGCACCTCTTGTAGACAGCCTTTTGGAAGAGAAGAGATATAGGTCAATAGTTAACAAGAGTGGAAGGATCCAAGTGAATGGTTTTTTTTGGGATGGAGGGGACATGGGTATGTTAATAGACAGTAGGGAATGAACTAGTAGACAGGGAAAGATTGAAAATAATAGAATGGGGATGACAGAGGGGGCAGTCTGTTGGAGGAGAAGGGATGGAATGGGATCACTTGAGCATAGAGGGCATAGCCTTGGAAAGATTAAGGTTACCCAAGCATGTGAGTTAGGGGTAAAGGAAGAAATAATGGTAGAAGGCTTCTGAGTGATGGGAGAAGAAGAGGGAACTCATGTTGAATGTCCTCAATTTTAATTATAAAATACGAAGCTAGGTTCTCAGCTGAGAGGGTGGGGGGAAGAAGGAGCCATGGGAGGTTTGAGAAAGAATGGAAAGGTTTGGAAGAGCCACTGTGAAGAGAGTTATTATGATTTGATAAGGCAAGTGTAGTACATCACCTAGCCATAATGAGGGCCCAGTTGAGGTTGTATAATATAAATTTATAGTGGACTCAATCAGAATGATTGTGTACTTTTCTTTACCTTCGTTTTGCAGCATGTTGTAGGAGCAAAGGTGGCAGACAGTGGGAGTGATCCAAAGCTGAGACTTGGCAGGGTGTGACTGGTGAAATAAGGGGCCTAAAAAGTCAAGAGATGAGCCTGTTGTAGAGTTGAATCAGTTCACCAGTGGGTCAAGATGGGGAAAAGAGGAGAGAGTGGCTAGTGTAAAGGAGATGGCCTGGGAGAGAATTTGAGGAGGCAGGGGATTGGAGGCCACAGTATAGATTGAGAATAGGTTTAGGTAAAGGAAATCAGTGGGAGAGGTAATAGATCATGCTTAGATAAGGGGATTTCAAAATTCTTGAAGGTTTGTGGTAATTTTGGGTAATGGCAAGATCAAGGAAATTACCATATTGAGCCATTTTTTACCTTCTTTATAACATTTCTCATCTTGGCAGCTTGTGTTCTACCTTAATGTTAAAACCCTTGGATATTTTTTCTAAAAATTAAAATTGTGGAACATCAGTGTTTTCTACATATAGGGAAGAAAAAAGGACACTTATAATTAAATTACTTGTCATGCTTAGAAAAGGCTACGATAACAGATTCTCAAGAAAAATAATATGGGAAAACTAGTGATATCACAGTTGTGAAAAGTTGCAATTTAATGTTTCCTCAATAATTATACTACTTGTGTTGCCACATTCTTTCACAGACAATGTGTCCTGTGTGTTTGGATCGTCTGAAGAATATGATATTCCTCTGTGGCCATGGAACATGTCAGCTTTGTGGAGATCGAATGAGCGAATGCCCTATTTGCCGCAAAGCCATTGAACGGAGGATCCTTTTGTATTAAATGAGAAATAGCAGTGGGTTTTGTTGGCTAAACGAAATTTAAATGCGTTTGATAACAGGCAGTTCTAGTGAAATACTGTATAATACCATAGCCTGTGTAATACATTATAATTACTTTGAATGCGCTGAAACCAAACAAACCACAAAACAGTATTTGGATAGTCATTTTGAAATTTGGATCAAATCCATGTAAGCCACAGTTAATTTAAAAAAGTTTTTTACTCCAGTCTTATAGAGTATGGTTTGTAATGGGACAGATTTAAAAATACATTTAATTCCTAATTCTTTACTACTTCCATTAAATTTTCTTTTACTATTCAGTTTCATCAACCCTTAGATGATATACTTTTTTGTGTTTTCTCTTATCCTTAACATTAATAGTCATTTTTCGCATTAAGCCTAACATAGATACTAAGAAATTAACACTTCTTTAAAATGCCATATAGCACCAAGTGAAGTAGGCAAGTCAAACCTTTACCTCATTTATATTAGGCATATAGGGTGTTTCAGAAGTCTTTAGTGTAGTTTGAGGCTCCAAAAAATAGCTTCAGGCTGCACTAAGACTTTTAGGACACCCAGTATAAAATCATAATTGTAAATGGAACATTACATAATGTAAATAAGTTTGAGAAATGTTTTGAAAGAGGTAATGAGAGAGTAGAAAGACTGCTGAACTTGGGAATCACAAGTTTGAATCAGGCTCTGCCACATACTGCCTGTGTGATGCTAGCAAGTCCTTTAACCTCACTGGAATTCAGTTACTTTACTTGTAAAATGTGGGAGTTGGACTAGATGATTTCTCAGGTCTCTTCCAACTCTGGAGCTACGATCTCATGGCCTATGCTCTAAAAGCAAACATCCGAAATTTCATTTTCATTTCCAATGATTTCCAGTTTTTCTTAAAGAAACAAATTGGAGTATGGAATAATGAGAGAACAATCACAACTTCATATTAACAGTTTATTTCTTAGATTGTAAAAGAAAAATCAGTAATTTGACTCTTGTTATCTGTTAACCTAAAAGTAGTTGATATTCTTACTGAAAAAAAAAAATAAGAATGGGCAATCACAATGAGGAATTGAAGAAAATAATATTAAGGATCATTTTCCTACAACATTGCAAAAATAGAATTATTTATTTATATATGTTTGTGTAGCTTCTGGCCGTTGTTGAAAGACACTGCCCTTCTTCTGTGACCTAGTACACTGTTATTATTAAGCCTTATAGAAAAATGGTGTGAATACATGGTATATTCACCTAAGTACTCCAGTTACAGTTACATAATTGCCAATATTGGTCTTGATCTGACCATTAAGAAGAGTAATTGCTCCTTTCACAGGCCACTAAGTTTCCTCTTAGTAAATTAACTTTTCCAGCACACTTAGAATAATGAACCTTCCCAAAGGCTTTCCAGGTTTTCTCTTTCTTCTTGCAGGATCAGTTCCATTACTTTTGACAGTGTTGGTAATTCTGTGTATCTTCATAGGTCTTACATGACATGATACAGCTATCTCCCCAAATTATTGGGGGGTATCTTTATGAATTTATAAATCTTGGTACCTACAAATAACTACTTCAACTATTGCTGCCAGTGCCCTCCAGAAAATATTTGAGAACAAAGTAAAAATAGATTTTTCATTTTCGGGGGAAGAGTTGGGCTCTGGTGGTCAGTACAAAGATAGGAATAATTTCTATTGATGATATCATTTGCTTTGATACTGTCATTGGCTGTGTAGAGAATCAAAAGATTTTGTAGCGTTTAAATGAGCAGAAGCATGCTAGCATATCAGAAAGAACAGTGGATTGAAGTGAAGTGTTTTTAGATCTTTCATTGCTGGACAAGTGTACATTGTCAGCAGTTCAGAGCGACAATTTGCTGACCAGTACCTAAGCTCTTTATTTTCATATATATATACATATATATATATATATGTATATATATATATATATATATATAATACATACACAGATATCTCTCCTGTGTATTTAAAAAAAATTTTTTTTACATTTGCCTTCTGTTAGCAACACTTCCTTCTTCAAAAATTTCCTACTATACATAATTAGAAAGTCTCTTAATCTGGGGCCCATGGATGCCAAAGGTGTCCGTTGATAGATTTCAGAAGGTCTGTGATCTTTGATGGAAAAAAATTACATCTTTATTTCAGTATAGTTGATTCCCTTGGAAATCCTATATATTTTATATATCAAAAATATTATTCTGAGAAAGAATCTGTAGGCTTCATCAGACTGCCAAAGGGGTCAATGAAAATTAAGAAACTCCTGCTCTACCAAATACTATTTCCACATAGCCAAGTATTATGTTGACTGATTAAGTGGACTCGTTTTGGCTAGCCTGACGGTGGTAGTAATAATTTTAGTTGTGAAAATAATAATTTTATTTAACAAAACCTTTTCTTTGTTCCCTGACTCCTAGTTCTGGAATTGACTTTAAAGGGGAATTTTTGCCCGTTCAGAGTGTTCTCAGTACTTTTGTTCATGGTTTTAAAATACAGTATTCTAAACTTCTATCCCAAAGTTCATAATTTTTTGTAGTAATTGTTAATGAATTTGTGGATTTATGTCAGTTATTACATTTCTGAAGTTATTTTTGTGAACAGATAATCCTTTTGTTTTGATCAACTGAAAGTTTTTTTTTTTTAATAATTTTGATTTTGTGAGAGATGATGAGGAGCAGAATTTAACATGTTCTCCAGCTGTTTGAAACTTTGACCTCATTTTGTATCTCCCAGGAGTAGTTCCTGATAAGTTATTTCTCATCCCGTTAACCATCTCTTTTTATCCTGTTGTCACTAAGGATTTCTTATTGTTTTCAGTTATGTGTTGAACTCTTACTAGTTGGTCAGATCTCTAGAAGACTCTAGTTTTAGAAAAGATGTAGGGCCACTTGTGTTGTTTTGCCTTAATGTCTTTTCAGAATCATGGTTGCAATTGTGCCATTTCCTTAATTCTTAATTTCTTCAGTATAATCAAGTAGTATGTATTGAATATCACATTGCACTGAGTTGGATGACCAACCTTTTTGGATTCTGAATTTCCAAATACTAATTAGTTATGAAACAGCTACTAAATTAATTTTTTATTTTGAGCTTATCTTTTTTTTTTAATCTATTTTTCCCCGCCCTAATTTGAGCTAGGGAAGATGGATCTCAGACACTATTAATTTAACTTTAGTCAATGCCATTTCCTGCACTGGAGACCTTTGAAACTTTTATGGGCAAGATCTTCATTTGTGTATCCAATTTCCCTTTGACATCCTCCCTAGCAATCTTGTTTGGTGTTCTTCCCAGTGCATTAATACCTGTCCTTTGTTGTTTTGTGTGTGTTGGGTGATTTTTTTTTTTTTTTTGAGGGAGAAGTAGAAGGGACAAGTATGTTGTCATATTTTTACATGTTTTACCTAAATTATCCTTACATATATTTAGCCAGATATATGTAGCTATTTTTATTTCATTGTTGTTAGTCCTTCTTATTCATTACCATATAACAAATTATTTAATATCCCAACCTTAAATTATTCTATAAGACCTTCTGTCAACCACCAAGCTTTCAAAGTTCAGTGTTAGTTCAAATATTCATTCCTGATATGTCAGGATTTTCTGAATGTTGTGTCAGAATTTTAATATGTCAGATTCTGCTGGTAATTATATAATCACTACTGTAATTTCATTTGGCATTTTATATTCAACATCTTCTTAGAAGTAGATGTTAAAATTAATTTTGATAAGAAAAGAAGTACAATATGGTTTAATCACCATTAAGCACCTATGGCTGGGGAAAATAAATTTAGAGAAAACAAGATCCCTGTTAATTTGGATGTCAGAGTATATATGTATCTTATTTGTCTCTTTTTACTCTCTGTATTATAATACAAGAGTTTTCTGTTATAACACTGCCAATTCTTGGAATAATATTAGTAAGTTTAAAATGAAAACTTACTGAAGGTGCTATTCTTTAAACACAATCTTTTTAATGTACTTGTTCCTGTTGCTATATATACCATATACATATCTTGTAAAAACCTTCATGCCCAACATGAAAACCCTAGCGCAAATTAAAATTTTGTTAGGATAATGCTAGTTCTAACCAATAAATTAGTTTCATTGGCATAATAGGTAATATAACTTTAAAAGCTAAATTAAGATAATGCTAAAGTTCAAACACTACAAATTGACAAATTTTGGAAGTGTTTGTTGAAGTCTAATTTTACTAAATTTTTTTAAATGACTGATTTGGTTTGCAAGACCATTTTTAACATATTTAAATCTATGTTACTTAACTTTTGTACAGCTCATATCTATATCAAAGCACATTATCTAGGTAGCCTAAGAAGTTAACTCTGCCATATGTGCACACAGTATATCTGTGCCATTTAGATTGTGTATGCTGCCAAACAATTTTTGCCTTGTTCAGTCAGGTTTTGCCTCCCTGTTCTCATAGGGTCTTCACTTAAACTTAGAGTAGGAAAGAAGTGGTAGGATTTTGGAGAAGAGAAAATGATGAAGGAAGATGGTGAAAAGTAGAGGAGCAGGGCAGGGGGTCGGGGGGTGTTTGGTGTCTGAACATAGAGGAGAAAAGGGATTATTGAGGTCTCACCACGGCAGCCTGTGGGAAATATTTAATACCAAAAAAACTATTTCAGTTAATAAAATCCTATTTTATCACCTTTCACATAATGGGCAATTGCTTTGTAAATTGCAAATTTAAAATGGCTTTTGATTTGGTCCAAAAGGGAAATTAACCCCTCTCATAAATAACTCAAGGATTTAACAATAATTGTTCATGTGGAAACAATTCTAGAGAAGTTAAACTTTTTTCTTCTGTGTATATATAAATCAAAAAACACAAATTCTATCAATAGTAACTTGCTTGTGTGTGCATTTCTTAATGATTTAATCAAAAGACTTAAATTATTGGTAAACATGGTTGTCACAAAAATATTTTTGGCACTCCCATCAGACTGAAAACAATGTGCCAAAGGTTCCTTCCCTTCACTAATAATTACTAATTTTGATACAGTCATTTTGGGGGGAGTTTAAAAATGCCTGTTCATTGAAACGTAGTTGTTCCCCTCCCCCCCTTTTTTAGCTAGAAAAAAATTAAGTTGTAATTTTGTTAGCTCTGAATTTGAGCTGAGTGGGATTATAACATTTTCACAAATAGACAACTTGATAGTAGAAGTGTAAAATAGCTTTAAAATCTATTTGTGAATTTATTTTTGTTAAAACAGAAGAACCTAATTTTACTTTACCCATATGTTGTAATAGGAATACTCACGGATACCACTTGATAATCATGTAGAGGTGGAATTTTACTTAAGTAAGCAAAATCATAGCAGTATTAAGAATGTTAATTTTTGTGGCTAGTTTAAAACATGTTTGAGGAAACTTTAAAGCTGGTTCGATCTATTTGTTTTGCTTTAGAAAAAAATGTTTAGATTGTTTGAATTTTCTCTTTAGTAATTGCTGTTGAATGGTAGAAACATGGACAATTAGTGTTGATCAGTTAATGTTTCATAGCTTAAGACTTCGAAACTTTCTACCTCCTTTCTGTCAAAGTGTTACATTTTGCCGCTATTCTAGTCTTTATAGTCAAAGGAAAGTGGAAGTCTGGAGTTGGAGGGTTTTGTTAGTGGTGGTTTTTTTTTTTTTAAACACGAACAAAGCAAAACCCACCCCTAAGACACTGCTTTGGGGTTTTATCACCCAAGTTTGGTGCCTAAATTCATAACAAAAGGTTAAAATTGATCTTTAAATGTATAATGATAAAATTGCGAAGTGTTACACATACTGTTCTCTTCCATTTTGTAGGCTCCTTGAATTAATTTCCTCCAAAATCAAAATTTTTTTTGTTCATTTACATGTTTTCTTCCCTCCCCACACGTCATTTCCTTTTAAAGTTATAACTGCAGTAATTTAAAGTTCTGATTCAGGGCTTTTTAACAATTTAAGCAAATTCCTATATGTTTGTTACACTTTTAGAAAACCCCACTCATATCATTGTTTAGTGCCTTGAAAGAATTATTGACTTGGCAACAATGATTAGACCATTACAGTGTGCCTATGTCTGTCAGTATATGCAGACATATGTGTCTCATCGTTTAGATACTACATGTGTGTACTGGGCCTTGGTAATTCTGTAAGGGAAGCTTTGTAGATTTAAATTTGAAGATTATTTTTTAAAAACTGATCATTCACGTCCATGACAACTATACTAGTAGACAGAATAATTCTGTACTTATATTCATACTAAGTCACATGTATGAAATACCTGGGGAGAGGATCTAGGGAGTTTACATAATTATGCCTGTTTAGTTTGAAAGGAGGATTCAGTCTATAAACAGTGAGGTTTCCCTTACATCCCCCCAAAATCTTTTGTGTTCTAACATTAACATTTAAAAAGAATCTGCATGGTGTTTCTTAATAGTAATCTTATTTTGTCTGAGTTCACAAGTTTTTCTTTTTACTAAGTTTAGTATGCTAGTTATCATCAGTCCCATATACAATATATTCAGTAGAAGATAAGTTTTATTGACTCATTGTAACATTTTATTTCCATCTCCCTCTCCCCCCATAGTTGTTAGACTTATGTGTTCAATGGAATTTGAAGTCTTTTGTGTGAATATAGCTTAATTTCTGTACTATGAATGATTTTGCTTATTAGTCTGAGTTTTTAAGAAATGCTTAGCAAGTCCTAAGCTTTTAAAATTAAATGCTAATATCTTCCTGTTAATAAAGTTTTATTATATAATGTCTTAATCTGCTCTTTTGAAAAATATTATTTTAAAAAGTATATGCATGAGTTGCTGGATGCTTCAAGCATTTGGTATATTTATTCTTTTCCTACTTCATTTGTAATTGAAATCTTTAACAACAGAGAAAGCAAGGAGCTATTGCCTTTGTTTGGCTTTGA